ATTTACATTTAATTGATGGTACTTGTGTATCTTGAAAGTGTATAAATGAATAGAAATAAGCAATGAATGAATTGATAATACTTGTAGAAACCTCAAAATGCATAATAAGAAGTGAGTTGAGCATCTATAATCATGAGCCAGACGTAGGCTAATATATAAGTCAACTTCTTTATTTAGAGGATCTTGCTACATGTATATATGGGGTTACATAATGTTGCGTGTCACTCTATCATTTGTCAGTTTAAAACAAAGTCAACTTTTCTATTTAATATTTTTCCTTCACATCATATTATGTAATCCTTATGTACAATTTTGATGTTCAAGTAACAAAATCGTTATTTAGAACAATATACTTTTTCTCTTAATTTATAACACTTCAAAAACTTCATATCTCATTTTCGTCTCTTTAGCTTTTTCAATAAATCCTGACATATCGATCTACTTTTAAGTTATAAAAATTTTAGAGATGACATCTCAAAAATTATCGTAGTAAATAAATATTTATGTTTTATAGGTTTAATTTTTGTCATTTTTATTTTCCAAATACTTGACGAGATATGTGATTGATCTAGTATTTTGCCAATCCATCTCCAATTGATGATGGTTTTGTCCAAGTAGCTGAAATTGGTGAGGCGACAACTTGGCTCAAGATCCTACATTTATCAATCTCACAATCATGAACACAACTTTCAACATTGTCAGCACCTAAAGATTAGAAGATTAATGCACTTGAATCTTTGTGTAGATACTATGTACTCAATGCATGACAATTGACACATTTTATTACACGTGTCTCTTCTTTAATCTTATCTAATCTATCGTTTCAAATGTCCTAAAGACAGTTAAAACGTCGTTGAAACGAACTAAAAGATGCAGTTTCTGCGTTCTTTTCAATATTTGCTTCACCATCATCTTTTTTCCTCGCTTTGCTGGCCTTCAGAATCTTTCTTGGCTTCACTCTCACTTTCACCGGCTTCTGTAGCTCTTGTTAAGATTTGGGGTTCCATCTTAAAAGGTCAACTTTTTTAAGATGAGTAACCCAAGATCTTTATTAATTGGTCTGTGTCAACATCATTTATCGATGTGGAATAAATATATTCCTTAACACGCCCCCTCAAGATGGTGGCTCATTTGAGCAGACCAATTTTGAAATCCACGTGCTCATTTTAGAATCTTAACGGGATCGAATCACTCGTTGGAGCATAATGGACTCTGATACCATGTTAAGATTTGGGGTTCCATCTTAAAAGGTCAACATTTTTAAGAGGAGTAGTCCAAGATCTTTATTAATTGGTCTGTGTCAACATCATTTATCGATGTGGGATATATATATCCCTTAACAGCTCTCTTCTTTTCCTCCCCAGATTTCTTGCCTTCTGCTGCCTCCTAAATTACCGACTTGATTATGTTTTTCTTCCTGACATCATCTGTTTCATCCTTCTCAGCATTTGATTCAGATTTTAACTCGTCAACCTTGTTTTCAAATTGCTTAGCAGGTACTTGCACTGTCATCAGTTTTTTCTGTTGGGAATTTTCTTAATCATGCACAGCGGAAATAAAATAATTTTCAATTCACAAACGAGGATCTGCAATGTGTTTAGATAGAAACTGTGATGAGAATGATACCTTTGATGAATTCCACAAACTCTTTTGCTTTTTTTTAAACTCCAATGATCACGATCTGCAATCCAAGTTGTCCAATTGTTCAGCCTCCAATGGTGATC